GCAGGCTGCATCCGGCCCATGGGCCACATTTTGCCCATCCCTGCATAAGTGCCACTTCCTCATAGCACAACCTATTTGAGCGGGGGTTCTGTATTCAGAAAAGTGCCACCTACCAAGTCATCAATAGCCATTTTTACAGATACTAGGTTTCCCTAGCTGTGACACTACAAGGTTTTCACAGATAAGTGTTAACCCAACTCAAGTCTGCTTACTTTATGATACCTCACTGAATAATAGCCCAAGCTGGTGTGGCTACAGAGAAGAACAGTCCTCTCTCTGTGAATTTTCAGCTGTGATTTTTAAGTGGGATTTGCTTCATTGTTATAAGTGAAGAACAGGAAAAAAAACTTACAAAGCTCATACAGGCCGCATCCAGACATGCAGGCACATGTGATCTGTGGCGCCACAGACCTCTTTGCGGTGCCACAAACTACACATTTGGAACATTAAAAAGTGCCCCATGCTGCAAATTTGCAGGGCAGGGGCAAAATTTGCTATCAGGATTTCCTGGTAGCAAAAAAAAAAAAAAAAGTGCTGAGGAAAAAAGGTGGAGCAGTGCAAGCTACAATAGCATGCACAGGAAAAAGCGGCGGCTTGGTCCTTCAGGAAGATGCTTCGACTGCTGGCCAAAGTGTATTCACTCTTCCATTTGTGCCCTGGCTGCTCCAGCACATTGGGAACTGGGAGGAGCTGGGGAAAGGGCGGTTTGCCCCAAGTGGGACAATTTATCCCTCACCAAACTGCACGTGCCACTACTGTTTCTGCTACTGCAAGCGCATGCCCCTGCATATCTGGACACAGCCATGGAATTTAATTGCTTCAAAAGCTACAGACAGTGCTTTTAAAGGAATGAATTTTTAGAATGTTCACAGGGAGTTGTGTATAAAATAAATTAACTTAAAATAGAGTTATGGATCAGGTATTAATGATAGGGCATTCTAAGGCTTATCTAATGATAAACTTCTCACCTGTGACCTGTTATCCTGAATTAGAGCAGCATAATTTAAAAATGGGCAATTGTCTGCATTTCACATAGAAAACAACAGCAGGACAATTCTGGGTGCTGTTATTAATTCTAACAGCTTAAGCTATTTGCTCCTGCCTTCCTGCTTCCTGGAATTTACTTCCAAAACCCATGATCTTCTCCCCCAACCCATGTTTGAAAGATGTTGCCCCCCAAATCCCTTTTAATCTGTTTTGCATTGTGTTGCTACTCTGTTTTGTAAATGAAGAAGATATATAAACTGGATGGTTTTAGAAAAAAGAGAAGTGATGCTATAATTAAATCAAAGTAATTTGTGCTCATATCCAAGGAATATTTTGTTCTTTAAATCTCTGTGTCTCAACACAAACACATGCCAGATCACAGTGGCTATCCACTCATTCAGATACTGGCCTTTAAAGCCACAACACAAGAAACATCCCAAAGTTTAAAACATACTATTAAGAAGAAAAAACACTGGTTTGCAACTTTGAGGAGATGGAAGGCAGAAAAGAGAGCTGGTCCTGAACCTTCAATTTCAAAAATATTTGAAAACAATATTGGTTTTAAAAAGAGAATCTTATCCACTTATAAGCACACCATCATTGTGGAAGGATTATACTTTTCCCTGCTAAAGCTTGTCATGAGCTCAAAATCACTCAAACTTTCAAAAGTTAAGGTAAATCCTGGGAGTCTGAGTAAAAAAAGATAGTTTGCATAGGCACTGGATAAAGTTTGGTAAAACTTTTAAATTATTTGGAAGCCTAATTCTCATTTTTCCAAAGAGACTTCAACATGCGTAGGGTGACCTCTGTAGTAGCTAGGAGGAAAATAAATCTTAATCCCCAAGCCTACACAGAAGACCCAGCTATGCTGTCTCACAGTCAGGCTGCAGCTACCACCACAGGGTGTGGGTAAAGGTAGCAGATAGCCTCATGCGTTGGCCCACTGATCATGTCTCAAACAAGCTCAGTGCCCCTTCTCCACGTTCCAGCTCAGGGAGCTGTTGCATAGCTCTGCTCCAGGGTTTGGATTCTTCCTTGTTTGTGCACTGAGACGGCAGAAACATCATGTTCTGACCCACATTCACTGCAATATGTGACCAAAAGAAAACTTGCTTGTCTCTCAAAACGATAACTGAGAAATGGGTCTGGCAACTTTAGGGATCATCTTGTGGCACAAAAAAGTGCCAAGTGTAACCCAAGCAATAGTACTGGCTGTTCTCTCTAGAGATTGCCTTTGCCAACACTGGGAGTACGAAGACTGTTATTTGCAAGATGTTACCATATGTTTAAATGGAAACAACTTCACAAGGCCTGGAATTATAAAAATCCTTTAAGAATGACAAGGCATGGTAAAGTGAGGTTAAATTTCAAGAGTGTTTTCTTTTGGGAATCTGTTTATAGCTCTGCAGTGTAAACCAGTACCAGCTTTCATGATGTTCCTCATAACTACTACTATTTCAAAGGAAAAAAATCACCATTATAGTTTGGGGACTTGGAAAGAAGCAGGTGAAGAAGTGGGGAAAAGAGACAGGTAGTCCATAACTGCTGTTGATGGCTATTGCTGCAATCTGCACCATACTACAAGCTCACAGAAGAGCAACTGATCTAGAAGACTACCTAGATTCCTACAAGACAAAGATCTCAAACTGTTCATGCAAGTGCATGTCCACTGAACATTGGAAAAACAAAAACAAAAACCCCAAGGATATTTTAAAGAGAAACAGTGAAACCCACAGAATGTGATGAGACCTCCTCCTGTCCACATGGAAAAATCTGAGTCTAAAGCAATGTACACAGTAAGCCAAATCTGCTCTCAGTTACACCCATACAGCCATATTGAAATCTCGAGTGTGATGATCACAATTTAAAAATATCCCACAACATTTTCTAGTGCTTAAAGAAATAATGTTGCACACACATATACAGTCCAGCAAGTCTATAAGATGTAATGATATAAATGCATAGGTTCTTATAAGTACCTATGAGTACTTAAGGCACTTGAGTACTTTAAAAGTACCTCAAATAAGAATGTAAGTACTTAAGATAAAGATAAATGCCTGGAACATTTTGAATTATTTTTCTTCAGTTTGTCTTCTCTAGTCAGTGGCTTTACAAAGAAAATCACTTGCCCTAATATTTCTGTGTCTGCTAGAGGACTGTTGCCAAAGCCAATGGGAGAACCCTTTCTTCAAAGATGCTATTTAAGAGATGCTTGAAGGACAAGCATTTGCTCTGTGAGCACTTGGAGAGTCAGGAAAAAGAGAAAGCCTGTACCATGTTTTTAAATATAAATAAGAAAGACTAAGACCTAAGTCAGATAAAGTATATGTAATAAATGTAAAGACTCCAGCTCTGACACCAGCACTATATGAGATTTAGTGCTACTTAAAAATCTTGGCAGCACATTGGATTAGCTGCAGCCTTCAAAGCCTCACCAGTGAAACCAACCTAGCAAAAAGTGCAATACAGGCTGACTGTAGCAAATCATGTGCCTACTTTCACTTCAGCAGGATATACAAAAGAAGCCTGAGACCTCAATATTGATTATATGATAAAATGCTACTGTTGTTACTCCTCTCATTTGAATACTCCCCTAATGTGCTTCCCCGCAAGGTCCAGAATATCTCTTAGATGTTTGTAAATTGAATCAATGGAAATTATAATGCATTTCCCAAGAGAAATAGATGAGGGAAAAAGGATATTGTCCTTACTCTGTTCCAATAGTGGCAATTTAGGATAGAGCCATCTCTTTATGCACATTAGGCAGACAGCTGATTTGCAGCAGCATCTTATTAGATATCCTGTTTAGGGATCGTTTATTAGTCTTTAATGAAAACTGGAGCTTTTATTAAGAAATGTATGTCTGTGAGAGGGCCAGGTGCACTGGACCAGATTGAACCTGTACATAAATCTGAGTTAACTCCAGGATCTAGCTGTGTCTCTTCATTTTGGAAAGATACAAAATGTTGTTATTTTACTTTGCATATACAGTACAACAGGAGGATGCACGTCATTTAGCAGGACATTTACACTCATAAAAAAGTTCTGGCCATCACAACAATATCTTAACTACATGTTCATGGTAATAAATGTGCGAAAAAAGTTCCAAGGCCATGAACAAGCCCCAAGAACATACAGGCCCCAGCAATCCCCATGCCATTCGTGGGAAGGCCTCAACTGGGGCTGCACGTGGCACTGGCCCAGTCACTAGTCTGCACCCTCTGGCAAGGCCAGGTCCTGCCTCCATATGCCCCGCACGCTGTTGGGCCAGGCCAGCTCCATGGAAGCAGGACCCGGCCTGGCCCGGGAGTGCATGGCTTCTGCCTGCAGTGCCAGGAGCTGTGGGTGACAGCATAAGCAGCCTGGTCTTGTTTGAGGTTGCATGCCAGTGGCTGGGCTAGTACCCTGTGCAGCCTCTGGGTCTGAGGTGGCACCAGACCCCTGGGGGTCTCTGCCAACAGCAGGCCATGAGTGCCCCAACAGCCGCTGCTGCTGCTGCTGCTGCTGCTGCTGCAGGAGGGCTGCGCACCACACAGGGGATGGGCAGGGGACCCATGCCTCCCGAGCAGTCTCCCCTGCCCGCACAGTCTCCCCCACGTCCCCGCTTACCTGGGACAAAGCCTAAGTCCAAGCCACCGCTGCAGCCTTGCCCCACTTCTATTTGCCCCAGCATGCTGAGGCAGCATGCTGGAGCAGCAGGGGCACGAGGCAGCCATAAAGATGCTCTGGCCAGATGCCAGAGCATCTCTTTGGAGGACCCAGCCTGCAATTGCCTCTGGGCACACTCCAGGAGTACGCCCTGTCCCATTTTTTTCTGATGTGTTTTTTTTTGATACTGGGATTTCCCAGTATCAAATTTAGAGTCTGCATTGCAAATATGCCATGTAGGGAACATTTTTTCATTCTAAGTGTGCATCCTGTGGCATCTCAAACTGCTTTGAGATGCCGCACCAGGCATGTGCTCACTTGTCTGGATGTGGCCTGAGTTATCAAAGAAAGTATAATAGGATTACCTGGCGGATATGCTCCTGTAGTCCCTTGACTCCATACATCCTAAACACAAACCACATTTTCAAGGAGCGGAACCTTCGGCCCAGAGGGATTTGCCAGTGCTGCATTTGAGAGAGAAGGAGATCTATGTCAGAAGTCATTGCTTTGGGTACAATGCAGTACATGCCACGTGACAGTTTTGGCATACACCATATGTTCAGTTCCTGAAAACTAGATGACAATTCTTGAGGTGCATCAAGTAATCAAAGAATGTTTGGGGGCTCACAAACTCTTTGGTACAAACATTTAAAATGTAGAAGTAAGAAAGGGAGGAGGTATCAGAAGATAGGCCCCCGGGCTAAACCACATATTTATCACTCTTCTGAAACTCCCATTAACGTCTCCACCAAGTGCATATTAACATCTTGTAAAAACCTCATAGTTTTACCAAACTTACCACAAAGGACTCAGAATGCAAAAAAAAAAAAAAAATCATCTATATTTTTTAAAAAGTAAATTTTAAGATTAAGGTCTTGGTATTGCCCCTCAAAATGTTCTTAACATTTGCTATATAAAATAATTTGAATGAAATATGAATGTTATGTGCTATGGCATGATGAGAATATGTTCAGGAAGATACCGGCCATTGGCCAATCTATCAGGCAGCTACATATACATATAAATCTCATGTCAGTTGAGAGGTGAGTTTTGCCCTCGGATAAAAAGTTCTCAGATAAATAGGGTTTGGAGTTTTACATTTATTCTCAAGTGGTTAGCAGTCTGAAGCTACAGATGGGCATTCTACTTCAAATTTCTGAGAAAGTGACAAGAGGGTGGGTGTGCAGGCAGCCTTCTAGCACAAGAGCAGATAGGGAAGTACAAATAGGGAAGTATTGAATTCGGATTTGGCTGATTCGGAGGAGAGTGATTTGATTCGGTGATTTGAATCACTGTCCCTATTCGATTAGGCCAAATCAGAATCAGAGATTCGGTGCCGATTCGGAGATTCAGATCAGCCAGGGAGAGGCAGGCACAACTGGGTGGCTGAAGGTTCTCCCACGGCTCCTCCGACTGTGCCTGCCTCTCCCTGAGTCGGGGGAGCTGTGGAAGAGGCCCCCATGGCTGCTCTGCCCGGCCCTATCCCTTGCCTGGCCCCAGCCTCCCGGCACTTTAAAAAAAAAAAAAAAAAGCCCCGCACCCTCCGGGTGCAGAAGTGGCAATTGGGGCCTCTGAGAGCTCGTGGCAGAGCCCCACCCCATGCAGTGCAGGGCAGTGGGGCGTAGCGGGGATCACTGCCTCCCCACTTGGCATCTACATGGCAGCTGTCGCATCGTGTGGGTGTAGCGTGGCTTGGCAGGGCACCGCACACTGTCTGGGAGCTGGGGCAGCTCCAGCAGTCACCTGGAGCCCAGCAGCACTCAGCAGCCTGCT